AGGAAAACAGTACATGAACCCATCAATCAGATATTGAATGAGCAACTTACAGCAGCTATTTTAAATATATTCAGGAACTTAAAGAATAGTATCTTTAAAAAGAAAACAGGGAGGAACTCAGCAAAGTAGTGAAACTACTGAAAAAATTCAATCTGAAAACTAAAATAAGTGAAATAAAAAATTCATTGGTTAACTTCAATCACAGATTAGAGATGATAGAAAAAGAATCATTGAGCCTGTAGAGAAAATTTTAAAATGTATCTAATTTGCAAATCTGAAGAAAAGGCAACAGAAGCTTAGTGATCTGTGGGCAAAATTTAATAGTCTAGTGCATGTATAATTGGAGTTCTAGAAGGAGATGAGAGTGAGAATGGGCAGAAATAATATTTGATGGAATACTGACACAAATTTTCTCAAATGTGATATTCAAAATTACTGAGAAAAAGCTTAGCAAACATCAGACAAAAACAAACCAAGACAAAATCCCTAGACAAATCATTCTTGGAAATACCATGGATAAACAATTGAAACCAAAGATAAAGAGAAAATTTTGAAGTCAACCAGAGGAAAAAAATTTTTACATTGTATAGAGAGGACAGTCATACAAATAAAGGTTCACTTTACATCAGAACTGAAGAGATAAGAAGACAATGGAACATATCTTTAAACTGATGAAAGAAAAAGAAAAAAAGATTAAACCAGAAATGTATCTTTAAAAAAATCATTCAATTGAAGGAAAATAAAGGTATATTCAGATTAAAAAAAATGCTGAGAGAATTTGTAACTATTCAAACTGCCAGTTAGAAATTCTAAAGGATGTTTTTTAGCACAAAGGAAGACAATTCCAGATGACAATTAGAATCCATAGGAGGAGTCAAGAACACTGAAGTGGACTGCCATTTCATTCTCCAGATCTTCCCAACCCAGTGATAGAATACAGGTCTCCTAAATTGCAGGTAGATTCTTTACCATCTGAGCCACCAGGAAAAGCCCACTAAATACACAAGTAAACATAAAAGACTATGTTTTTTATTTTATGAATTTACATTAATATAACTTGATTGTAAAAAACAAATACAATTTTAAGAGATATTTTATATTATACATTGCATAAACATAGGACAATATAAAAAATGAGAATACATGAAACTTTATTGTTAATTTCCTATAGTTGTGAAGCAGTTAAGAGTGAAATGGAAAATAGGAAGCATGAATTGTTTAGAAAGTGGGAAATGTCAGCAAAGTAGGTCAGTATTAACTCTAAGTACATAATTATAAGTGAAACAATTTTAGTGTTAAAACAAACACTAGGGAAAAAATAAAAGACAAACTAAACATCCATAAAAAAATACAATAGAATAAATATTAGATTAAAAAACAGAGTTGCAAAGGAGCAATAAGAAGGATGGATTAAAAATAAAAACATGGTAGATTTAAACAAAACACATCAATAATTATACTAAATGCCAAATGGGTTAATCATGCTAAGTCTAAGTAAATGAGTTAGAGCAAGAGGATGGAACAAAATATACTGTGCAGCCAGAGCATGAGAAACTTGATGTATCTCTCTTAATGTTAGGCAAAGTCAATTTCAGGATGGAGACATTTCAAAATGATAGAAGTCAACTAATCAGGAATACATAATCCTAAATGTGCACAGAATTAATAGTATAAATTTAAAATAGTAAAGGAAAATTAGTAGAATTAAGTTGAGAAATAAACAGAATCACAATTATAGTCAAAGATGTTAATACCCTTCTCTCAGTATTTAAAATAAGGAGACAAAAATATTAAAGACCTGAGAAACCATGGACTAATTACTTTACAGAACATATCATACCAAGTAAGAACACACATTCTTTTCAAGAGTATGTAAAATAATCACCCATATGAATCATATTCTGGGTCATAAAATAATCCTCAATACATTTCAAACGAGAAAATCTTGAGTAGAGTTTCTAACTAGAACTGAATTAAATTAGAAAGCCACAACAAACTATCTAGAAATTATCCAAATAGCTGGAAGTTAAATAAAAGACTACTAAACAACCCATTGGGAAAATAAAATATCACAAAGAAAAGTTCAAAATTATTTTGAACTTAGTCCTAATAAGAAATATAACATATACTAAACATTATTTAAGGAGAAATAGTCATTAAAACATTTTATGAACCATGTACTTGAAAATTCACTTTCCTGAATGATAATTACAACTCTTACTTCTACTTTTTTACTTTCTTTATGTGTGATTTTGGGGTTATATGGGAGAAAAATCTGCAGTGTCCCTATCTAGGCATTACTGGCATTTAGAATGAATAATTTGTTGCTGGGGGACTATCCTGAGCATTGTAAGAAGTTTGGCAGGATCCCTGGCCTCTATATAGCTAGTAGCCCCCCACCCCCACCCCGGCCAGTTCCAGCAGTGATACTCAAAAATAACTCCAGATATTGTTAAATGTCCTTGGTATGGGGAGTGGAGGCAAACCAAGGGGGAGCATCTCCCTGGGAAGAGAACATCAAACGTCATGTTTCTAGGCAAATGAATGTGAGTGGATTTCCAAACCTGACACTTAAACCAACTTTGTTACCATGGAGTTTATTTAATCATTCTAAGCTTCTATATTTATTACATAGGTATACTTTGAAAAAATAGAGTACACACCAGGAGATTAACATTATGTTTGCCATCAAGTCAAATTTCAATGTATATGATATATTATTATCTCTGTCTAACTGTGCAAGCATGGACTATAAAGAAACTCACTGGTTGAAGTGGTATCTTGCTGGTATCTATGGCTGAATTACATTAAAAAAGTTTACTTTAATCTTTATGGTTTTAATCTTGTTCACGTGAATTTACTATTATAATAAAAATCTGTCAACATTCATTTATTTCCTATTAAAATATGCTAATCATAGAAGAAAATTAGGATTAAACAATCTTTTATTCCATTAAGTATCAAATATTCTCTTCTTTGACCTGTTGCACTCATTTGCCATAAATATGACCATTACTTCATCTGGTTCTCAGTGTTCTCCATTGTGAAATAAGAAAATATACATTTCTTGATGATTTAAACATGCAAGATATAAGCCTTTTAAAAATTATAGACATCAATAATTTGAAGAAATATTGATGTTTCCCTTAAATTCCCTTAATAGTCCCCTTAAATTATTTATAATCTCTACAATTGTCAGACAGAATTAAAAACATATTCAAGTGATTTAATGTGGATTAAAGCCTTGAGGGAGAGAACAGAATGAAATATACATAATTCTAAAGCAGCTCTAGAAATAAGATGTTCCTTGTTAAGCAGAAATTTAGGTTGATGTTGAGAAGGTGTAATATATTGTACAGCTACAGATAATAGCCTACATATCTTTAAAAAAAAGTTTCACTTGTTCTTACTGAATCCAAATATTTGTTAAGTGGGACATATACCAATCTCAGTGCTTCAATGAGTGTCCAATAAAACCATAACTTCTCTTTCAAGAAGTTAGTTCTTAGTCTGTTTAGGAGGCTCAGAATACAATGAAAGATATCATTTAGATACATGACTGTCAATGGTTTCTCTGAGAGTGTAAAACAGGTCTGAAACAATTACAACTCTTAGAATTAAAGATACTCTGTATGAAACATGTAATGAGCCAAAACTTAACAAAATATTAGGATTTGTGTCATTAAAAAGGAGAGAGGTAACTTTTCTAAACAGGGCACACTGCAAGAACAGGCTCTAAGGTGTAGTTAAACTTGAAATCTTTGATATTCATGAGGTAACTCCTCTACCAAGGAAATAGGTATTGGGGAGAATGGGTTGTAGCAAGGTTACAGAAGCATCTTAATACCAGATGGAAGAGTTTTAGCCTTATATACAGTGAATAAGTGTCAAAACATTTTGATAGGAATTATATCATACAGGCACTTTGTAGAAAGATACCTACAATAACCTGAAGCAGCAGCACAATGAATTCCAAATGGAGGATGGAAAAGAAAACCAGAAAAAAAAATCATTCCCCAAATGCTTTTTGATTATAAAGATAGGATGACAGATTGGATTAATGCATCAATCAGTTTGTGAGTTTCTGTAAGCATTTTTCAAAGAAAGAGATGCCCCAATTTTTATTTTTTTGGTTATTCTCACTGATACAAACTGTTTCAGTGTATAAAGTTCAATTGAGGTAACACACTATTACAAAATCCTTATTTTTTATACACATGAAGTATTAAAACATAGAAAATATATTGATATTAAAAGAGCTTTTCTTCTCTGACTATTGAAGACATAATATCAGAATATTTATAACATATGAGGGAAAATATGTTCTTTTGCAGCATCTCTTATTATGTAATGTCACCCTTGTGACTACTCAAGTGGAAAACAGCTTAGCTAAACAAGATGAGCCTTGCAGCTCTTGTTCAACAAAGGTTACCTAAAATCTCTGAACAAACATATTAGCAAATAAAAAATGTTGATAAAATGTCAAATTCTCTATTTTGAGTAATGTGAGGGCCAACCCTAACACCATCCTGCCCTTTGATTTTCCTGTGATGGCATGTCTTTCTTTGTGTATTAGGTAACAGTGTATCACTGCTTAAGATCATGAGCAAACCAGAGATATTCCTGCTCCTTCTTATACCTGTGAATGCTGTGAACTTTTAGGCTGAAAAATACTTGACAAGGTGACAAGGTGGATATCTTCTTCACAAGGTGGACATCAAGTTCCATACATACTTTGGCGAACATTGTTAAAGTACTTTATGGTACTTTGGAAATGAAATCAGAAAATATTTTTCACAAAAGTTCTTCGATTATTTCTTTTAAGCACTCGGATGCAAGGAACTGAAATGTACTACATAATGGAAAACAAAACCAGCTTAAGGTGTGAAGAGAATAAATAATCAAAATGTTTCTGTACCTTGAATGAAGTCTACACTGGGGACCATGAAAAGCTAAGCAAAACAAAACAAACAAGAATAATTACAAAAATTGGCACTTACCCATATTTTGCAAAATTTGCCCAGCGTTTCATAATGGATCTACTAAAAATTTCCTCAGCTTTTGTGTAATTAACTCTTCTTTCCAGTGGTAAACCAAAGACAAATTCAATCTCATAACCATGCATCACTCCCATCCATTCTGGCCAAGGGAGTTTGGAGGATCGGTGCTCGAAATAGTAGAAAAAGGCATTGTTTCCCATATCTGAGAACTTTTTGGTGAACTCCAAAGCAGGACATATGATATTATAATCCCCAACAACATCATCCAAGGCCTCACGGTAGTTTTCAGCTCTCTGATCTTCTAACCAGTCCATGTAGTGGAAAAGGATCGATTCCTTTCCAAGCTCACTCACTCCTGGAAAAAATATTTTTAAACCTTCTTGAAATTCTTTTCTAGTTATAATACTGTTGTTATCTTTGCTGAAGCCAGGAGCACCATATACTAAAAATGCTGTCCCTTCATCTTTATTAACACCCACCAAGATCTGGGTTTTTTTGAACTGTCCAAGTTGGAGTAGTGTGTCTGGCATATCAGTGAGAAAATCACCATCTACAGTGGGACCAAAATTTACTGATAAGAGCGTACCATAGGGGACAACAAACACTTCATGAAGAAGAATCTCCTGGGGATCTTTATGTCGAAGACATTTGATTATCTCGGTGTCATTTTCTCTAGAACAACCAATAAATTTTGCTAACGTCAATGTTCTGTTCCTAGCTTCATAAAGAGATGTCACTGCCCAAGGAGCATTAGAGGATCCACTTTGCAGAATAGCTCTGGTAAACAATGGGTAACTTTTAGGAGAAAGTAAATGAAGGCTAACTGAAACTGCTCCTGCGCTTTCTCCAAAGAGAGTTACACTTTTAGGATTTCCACCAAAGGCTGCTATATTTTCTTGAACCCACTGAAGAGCTAACTGTTGATCAAAGAGACCCACATTCCCTGGTGCTTCAGGATTTCCCGGTAAAGCTAAGAATCCAAGGGCACCTACTCTATAGTTCATTGAAACCACAATAACTCTTTCAACCCGTGCCAGAAACTTGCCATCATAAACATGCAAAGATGATGTTCCAGTCTGAAAACCACCACCGTAGATCCATATCATTACAGTAGCATTTTTTGGTTTAGGTGTTGGAATCCACACATTCAGATATAAACAGTCTTCACTGAGGTCAGTGTTTGGGTTCCACATCTCTGATCCAAGGAAGCCTGGGAAACTTTGATCTGTGTTCTGATAACAAGAATTAGAATATTTTGTAGCATTCCAAATATCAGGCCACTTGGTCAAGGATTGTGGCTTTTTGAATCGTAGTCTACCAAGAGGTGGCTGTGCATATGGGATTCCAAGAAAGGCTGTTACTGTGCCACCAAGTACTGGCAAGCGCATCCCCCTGACTTTTCCATTCTTGGTGGTAATTATAATGTCTTCTTCAGCGTGTGACTTCTCAAAGAGTACCCAGAGCAGAAGGAACTGCAAGATAAATCTGATGTATATGACTGTACTCCGGCTTTGCATATTGGTTTCTGCAAGAGAGGTAAGTAGAAAGTTTTAACAGCTTCATGCATCTAAGGTTATATTTTATCAATGATAATTAACTAAAATTTAGCAGTTCTTATTAATTCTATAAATTATGAAAACTAATTATCTGTTACTGCTACAAATAATAGAAAATGGTTGGGCATATTTCAGTTATCAATTTGGGAAAGAAATGAGTGAAATGGAAATGGAAAAAGAAATGATTTCAATTTGAAGAGATTCATTTACAAACCTCTGTAAGAAAGAGAGATTTAGTACTTTAAGGAGAAAATTTGTCCAAGGCATAAGAGTGTGTGTGTGTGTTTGTGTATATATATATATGACTTTACCAGGCATTAACTGGCAGTCTATTTATGATAGATATAGTAGATTAAATTTCTACCATGGTTAGAGGAAGAAATGCAAGCTCACTTATTCTCTAGAATATATACAGTTCTAATCATGGCTGACTGGCTCTTGACAGAGCTATGAAGTAGGTGAAGAAACTCAGGATCTTCAGACTTCTATTACTGTCTTTTTCTGTTTCCATAGTCCCATCTGTGGTCCTTTTTGCCTTAGTGGTTTTTCCCTCTGTACAAGCATAAGCATAGTGTAAGGTCAGAAGAGAATTTGGACAAGAAATTCATAAAATGTTAAGTAACAAAAAAACACAGCAGCTGCCATTTATCCTACAAATTGTGAAAACAAACAAATCTACTACCATTATAAAGGTCTATCAGAAAAATTAGACAGAGAAGACCAGATATATACCAGTCCTTTGGAACCGAATAACCATGAAGGCTTTTTCTATCTAAATTATGTTGTCAATGAAGAGACTGACTGATAATGTAATGTGTGGGTGAAGAAATCAATTTGGAAGAAATTTTACACGCAGAGATGACTCAACACATGCCTTAATCTGTTAATTTATTAAAGCATATGCAACTAGGGAGGTTAAATGTGTTAGCATGGTCAGATTTGCTTATATTCTGGTAGTGGACAGTGAAATCAGAGGATTAAAATTGAGGAATTACTGGGAAAAGCAGGGGAAGCAAAAGTAATCTTTGATACCTACCAAATCATCACTATTTGACATTTCATGAAATAATATTTATTTAATAATATGAAAAGAACATTTGGGGAAATCAAAGTTTTATTAAAAATTCATAATGCACACTTGAGTTTCTTTTCAATAAACACATTTAAATCACACTCTGAAACTCTAAGTGACAAAGGATAGAAAAATGTAATGCAGATATCATCTGAAAGAACTAATATCTTTATACAACTGAGAAAAAAAAGAAAATCTGATTAAAACTGTCAAATACAAACACTGATTCTCATGCATAAAACAACAGCAAAGTTCCACACATGTACAAAATATTTTATTCATTATGTTTTGAGAGTGTAATAATAAATCCAAACTATGTGTCCAAGAAACTAATCCTGTGAGCACTGAGAATCTGTATTAGATTTTTTATTCTTTTTCTTAAATTTTAGATTGTCTTAGAAGGCAGTGATTTAGGCACTACCTATTAAGATAACTGTCTTAGATATATGATCCTCACAGTTAATGAGCCTCATTCACCACTGCTCACAGGACAGCCAGTAACCAACAGGTAATTTTTGATCCCCACTAATCCATTGTGTACACTATTTTGTTCAGTGTACAGTACTTATAGATGTATATCCATTTCTACCTCTATCTCTGTCTCTTTGTCTATGATTATGGCTATGTATATACTTATATATATTTATCTCTAATTCTATTTATATCTGCATGTTTATGCATATATACACATATATATTTATACATAATGATTGCTATAAAAAAGCCATGAGATTTTTGATGCTCTCAACTTTGAAATTAATGACTCTGTGTTATTACCAATAAAATATACTATTGAAGTATATATTTAACACTATATATATACTATTATGAAATTTAGATATTATAGTCAAATTAAATATAATTTTTTCTAAAAATAATAAATATAATGTCATGGTAATATACTCTTGCCTGGAAAATCCCATGGACAGAGGAACCTGGTAGGCTACAGATCATGGGGTCGCTAAGAGTCGGACATGACTGAGCGACTTCACTTTCCCTTTTCACTTTCATGCATTGGAGAAGGAAATGGCAACCCACTCCAGTGTTCTTGCCTGGAGGATCCCAGGGATGGGGGAGCCTGGTGGGCTGCCATCTATGGGGTCGCACAGAGTCGGACACGACTGAAGTGACTTAGCAGCAGCAGCATGGTAATGTAAAGATTCCTGTAAACTTGACACTTGAGGCTTCCCTGATGGCTCAGTGGTAAAGAATTTGCCTGCCAATTCACGAGCCCTGGTTCAATCCCTCGGTCAGGAAGATCCCTCGAAGAAGGAAATGGCAACTTACTGCCGTATTTTCACCTGTGAAATCCCATGGACAGAAGATCTTGGGAGGCTACAGTCCATTGGGTACAAAGAGTTGGACACACCTAGAGACTAAATAGCAGAATCAGTAGCAAAGTTGACACTAATAAAATTTTATATTTCAGAGAGTTAGGAGATTTAGAGATACTGCTACCACATACTACAGTTTTATTTTCCCCCCTTCTGATAAATCCTAAGACATTTCTTCTAAATAATTGGAGGTAGGCATTTGGCCTAGTTCAATCAATCTCTCCTGAGTCTAAAAAAGATTGTATTCTTTTTGTTTGGTTTATATAAAACAGATCCTGATAATTTTTGGTTTCTGACAGTTTTCAAACTTTCATTCTATTGGTTATTAATTTTATTCCATAGCGAATTTAAAATTACTACCAACATATTTTGTTTTTGTATATAATTAATAAATATAATAATTTTCATTGCATGTATTATGAAAGGCTGCTATAGCATCTAAAAGGTTGTAATAACATTTCATGTCACTTAATTGATTTATATAAGTACTTGTACACTTTTATTTATATTTTGTGCTAAGTAGAACTTAATGTTATATAATATGATTTATATGAATAATAATCTTTCTTTTACAACAGTGATATCTATGAGTCATCACCTTGGTATTAGTAATATAAGTACTTACACCTTGCAATTATAAATAATGTAATTAGTAACATTCAATCATATAAGCCTGTGTTTATAGCAAGAATGGCAACATAATTCTAATTCACCTTGGTGTTAACCTGATGGAGTACATTTTAAACACTATATTATTAAATCTAGGTTTTAACATGAAAATATGCTTCTATTTGCATACTCATTATTAGTGTAGGCTAATATGTTTATATTTATTTGGATGCATGCTAAGTCACTTCAGTCATGTCCAGCTCTTTGTGATCCTATGGACTGTAGCCTACCAGGGTCCTCAGTCTATGGGGTTCTCCAGGTAAGAATACTAGAGTGGGTTGCCACGCCCTCCTCCAGGGGATCTTCCCAACCCAGGGATTGAACTCTGGATCTCCTGTGGATCTCACTCTTTACTGCTGTGCCACTGCAGTACTTTATTTAAGTAAGAATAACTTTTTTTTTCATAATGTAGTATTCTCTAGTCTAACATGTTGCACTGCAGTTTTACCATTAAGAGATGCTTATGTTTTTAATATACATTATCACATGACTAAGCAATCAAAAGGTAGACAAAGGAGATTAAATAAATGTTATTGCTCTATATCTAAGTGTTTATTAATAATTAAAGTATTCAACAAAATTTCATTTATTTCATCCTCTAAATTCTGTGGCAAATTGACTACTGGCACATTAAACAATTTAAATTCTGAGAACACATAACATGTTTATCACAAAGAATGGGGTAAATTTTCATACCAAGGACAACTGAGTATATGAATTTAGAAATACTCAGTTTAGATCAACTAATTTATTGTAATAATCTTTAATACTTGACTAAAGGCAGAAGTTTTGTTTGGAATTGCAAAAGAAAATTGATGGGAGTGGGGAGGGAGACAAACTTGGATAATAATGAACACTTCAGTGTTCCAAGTTTATCAAATGCTCCAGAATATCAGAATCTACTGGCAATTTGCGGAAATTATTCTAAATTAAAGAAAAAACTTTCAAAATTAAAAATGTAAAAATTTATTTTCATCTTTTTGCATTTTTAATTCAATTTTGAAAGTAGTATCAAAATTCCTTGACTAGTTTTAAAAATATGCTATGCTATAAGATGAGTATAATAAAATTATTGATACAAAAAGCTGTTTATTTGCCATATATTTGTCATAATTGGATATCAACCAAATTTTCAAAATAATTGGGCAATCAAGGATCCTTATTAAAGGGTGGTCAAGCAAAACCTGTTAATAGTTTTCGCTGAATGCAGTCTTCTTGTCTCTTTAAAAAAGTTTTAGTATTATGTGTACTTCTATATAAAAATAAAGACTGTTCAAATGGTAGGAAAAGAACCATCTAGATAATATGATCTAGAACAAGGGCCACTAAAATGCAGATAGTCCAATTAAAACAACCAAGCCTTTATATCAAATCTAAAAAGCTTGTTTTGTTGTAGGCTAAGTGAAGCGGGGAATTGAGGAAGTCTGTTTATAAACTATACCACTGTCTTTCAGCGATCCTTCAGATACCCAATAGACACTAAAAGGATGTATAGATAGAAGACACTATATTAGGTATGAAACACAGATCTATAACTTTCCTCAATTAGGAAAAAATTCACAAACTTTTTATTGTGTGAATAATTTGAATATTTAATATTAGGTATCGGGTCTTCTTGCAAAGTTCAATCTGTTCTGAGGTTGACATCTATTCATTTATAATTTTCCATTTGGAACAGTTCAATTTTGATAAGAATGAGCAGATTTTGGCATGAAAGCATTAAAACGAAGACAACATATAATTTAAGCATGCATTATTCATTGTTACCAAGAAATAAATCAAAGCAGAAATTGCATTTGTAAATAAGATGTCATTTGCTTATATTTTAAAAGCTGAAATATGGAGTATATCCCTATACTTTCTTTTTTTAGCTTTCTTTTTTATTTTTTTTAAATCCTGAAAATATGCTAACACATTTACAGGAGACTTGGAAATTACAGAACAAAGTTATGTACAGTTCCACTATATATTACAAATTTTTGTTTCAAATAAATATATTAAGATTTTTAGTTGGAGTTTCACCAAATATTTTCTTATAATTAAAAAACTAAGGACAATAATATGTCTAAGAGAACAAAACAGAACTTTGCAAATTCAATTAGAAATTTAATTTGCATCCAAAAGACCACTCTATTTCAAACACACAGAGAATTCTAAAGGTTGTCATTTAAAGTAAAAATCATTCTTTAAACCCTCATGCTTATCCTTGATAACTACATAAGTGGCATATAATTATATTTATCATAGCTATGAGATATATTATGGAAGGCATTATACAGACTAGTAACAGTAACTCCTGAGTTTATTATTATGCAATATATTCATAAAAAGTTGGAAGGGATAACTATTTTTTTTAAAAAATTACAAATAAAAATCATAAATAGTGAAGTAATTTTGTTCACATTTCAGTTCACTTTTAATCATTCATATGGTTTTATAAAAACTCAATGCTTAATCCTGTAGTTAAACAAGAATTGATATCAAAATAAAGGTAGATTTACAAAATTATAGGATAAGCAGAAAGTGTGTATTTGCTATTATTTCTGTAATAATAAAAATAATAGCATATGTAAAATGCTTTTCTATAAATACACATATTTAAAAAAGAGAATAAACAGGACAAATTAGACAAAAGTTTGTAAATCAAATCAAGAAATAGATCTTTGCTTTTATACAGAACAAACTTAGACCTTTCCTTTGCAAATTGATTTTGTTAAAGTTTCAGATGGCAAAATGTTAAGTACTCTGTAAAACCAGACAATAAGAGAACTATTTATTTCAAACCACTTTAAAAAAAGAAAAAAAAAAAAAGAGTAAGATTGGTCAAGAAACACTTCTGTTACTCTTTTAAGGAGACATTCACCAAACAGAGCGTGTAAGGGTAAAACAGCATAAAATGTTTTCCCTTAGAGGGTGCATTAGGAACATACAATACAGTGATCCCATTAAGTGCTGCGGTCCTTTATACAAAGTTGAACAAATTCATTGTTTCCTTAACAGTTAAATGGACTCAGTCTGTGTTCCCTGAATAATCAGAAGATTTGATGTATGTGGCTGCTCCCTTCATCTGTCCCATTTCCAGTGACTGCCTCCCACGGAGCACCAAAGGGACACAATAAACACGTGAAGGGATCACATTCCTCCTACAGAATGAGCTTCAGGGTAACTTCCATCTCTAACAGCAAGGCGTAAATTCAGAGCAACTTACCCGACTCACTGCAACAAAGATGATAAAGTTTGCAAGAAGTGGAAATCATGTAATACTTCAGGGAAATGCAGGATGCAGCTGCTGCTCCAGCCTGTAAATTGGACGGCACTGACATTACAATCAACAGTTACTGACAAAGCTCGCGAGAGTTGGCAGCGGCAACTTGATCTAGAAGCAGCCAATCTTTACTTTCTGACATCTGTTCAGAGGCTAATTGTATGAATGCTATAGTGATTCATTTACAAAAGTATTACCGGAGTCATGTTTTACGATTGCAGGCACTCATCTAGAATGAGGAAAAAGAAAGCTACAGAGCAGATGCTGAAATTGAACAGAAAATACACAGGGTTTTTTTTTTTTTTTTAATCGTTTGTTTGTTTTCATTTTCTTTTTAAACACCACCAGAACTTTTAAGGTTTTATTCTCCTTTATGGAATCTACATTTTTCTCATGCTGATTTTGATTTAAATATATTTATGTTGCTTTAAAGAAATGTTGTTCAAATTGCTACCTTCAATCTGTGTCAAGCATGTGGCTATGTTATTATTGTTGTTTAGCCCCTCGGTTGCCGCCTGCTCACTTTTACCACCCCATGGACTGTAGGCTGCCAGGCCCGTCTGTCTGTGGGATTCTCTAGGCAAGAGTTCTGGAGTTGGTTGCCATTTCCTTCTTCACATATAGTTATAAAGGAGTGTAAAATATTAAGTAGGAAACTAATTATTCTGTAGATAAAACTATGAAGATCAAAAGACTAGTTTTATCAATGAATGAATGTGATATGTATGTCCTTCCAACCCCTACACCCCAACATCCATGTAAATCATACAGATCTCAGCTTTGATAATTTCCTAATTGGGGACCCTACAGGCAGTCAAGTGTTAAAAGAAGTCACAAATTTTCTACTTGAGACAGAGAAAATAAAATATAACGAACATTCATCACTATACTTTATAAAAAAACACATCTGTCAGCTGAAACTGTGTGAACTCTCAAGGATGTATATGCGTCTTTCAACCTTATCTTCCCTGACTTAGCTTTTTGGGCAAATGAAAAAACACATAAAAAATTTTTTTTTATGAACCATATAATGCCTCACTTCTTAATGCAGTTATATTCTTTATCTCCCACCAGAGATCACTTTCACTTTTAAATCTCTCACTATGGGGCTTGTCATGGACTAACCAGTAGGCATGTAATTGTGGATAAGCCTATTTTTTGTTTTTAAAACATAATGTTTAAGATTTCAAATATGCAAATGTAAGAACTGTCATTTGTTATTAATACTGTCTTGTGTCAGTCATTATAATTGACAGCTTACATAACTTGTTTTACTTTATTTCATCAAATATATGAGTTAAATATTACTAATTGCATTTTCAGATGAGGACACTAAGGCTCTTAATGATCAGAAACTTGGCTATATACATATTTTACCACTAGTAGGAGCTGGCATCAGAATTTTAACCTAGATTTTTCTGATGTCATTCCATGTCAACTGTTTCCAAGATACTAACCACTTTGGTCTTTTAAAATAATCTTTTCTGGGAAATTTGCTCCTTAGAAGGTATTTACTAGACAATGAACTTCACAGTCACAATGATTTATATTGTATTTAGAATATAGTTTGTGTAATGACAATCTAGTAACACAAAACTTACAGAGTAAATGGTTTATCTAAAGAATAAAGATTTTTTTCAAAAACAGTACACTGACAACAACACAGTGAATAGTAACATGATGGCATTTCTGTTTAAAATATAGTCATTCTAGTAATCCATGTGGAACAGTGTTCGTTAGTTTAATATATGTGCCTTTTTTTCATTGAAATGCCAAATTTCTTTCCTCCAACACAGCTGCACTGCATTGTTCTGGGTTAGGATGTGGTTGATCTTATTCTCCTGCAATTATTGAGTGATGTTTTTGATGTTAGCAAATACAGGAGAACATTCTGCATATAATATCTACACACCACAATGAAAATATATCAGATATTAATATATTTCATTTTCATCTTTAAACAGGAAAGTAAACAATGCAATCTTTTATCCTTATATCTTTAACACATGTTTAAACTGGCTGACAAGCAATATCAACTGATAACAAAATCTGGCAATTTTTTCTCTTTTTATTTCATTTACCCTCACCATTCCTCAGACATGCCATCCTACTTAATGCATTATTTCAGTGCATTTCTTTTTCCTGTCTTATTGGAGGTTTTCTTCATTTGTGGCTCAACATATAGCAGCTACTTTACTTCTGTGATGCCAATATTTTTTCACACTTACCAGCAAGAGGACTTGGTCACACAAAATGAATTTTATTTCAAGGTTATTTGGCCAGGGTTGTTCTGTTACCTGACAGAACCCTTGAGGGTTTGTGATCATACTGTTAAACGTTGAGACTGCCTCCTAAGTAATGCTGCTCAAGTACCACAAGAGTGTTGAAATGGTGTTAATACCACTCAGGTTTTGCAACCATGTACGCTGAAGGTCTGGCAAGGCAACCATTATTGGTCTTGACTGAACATTTTCAGTTAGTCTATAACACAGACTTTTTAGTTTTAAGGTTTTATTGTTACTTAATTACCACTGATCTGGTTGTGTTCTAGATAGCAGCTCTGAAGGAGATTTGAGACAATGTGGGAAATAATACCACATTATACATTAGTCTTCATTAGGCTTACTCATGCTACGAAAATGCCCTAATCTTTCATTAATACTTTCTTTTTTACAAGAACAATGCCTTCTCTAAAAAAATATGGGTTACCAAAAAATACCCAACATTTTATGTATCACAGAGATGGGAAAGGTCATTTGATGTATTCCATTTTACTTTTTAAAAAAATCTACGTACATAGTTATAATCAGACATATATAAAGCAATACTCAATTAGGTTATTAAAAATTTCCTTATTTTTAAAATTTATTTCATAATATTAATTTTTATTAAAATGTTTTAAAGACCTAGTGATACATTATCAATGATTATACTACAATTTCTTGCACCATTTGTTTCTTATATGATGATAAAATAATTTTCAAGCACTACTGCTTGCAGACATTGTTCTAAGGACTTTGAATATATTAACTCATTCAAAACTCAAAACCACCTTTTAAGTAAGTACTATTATTATCCTATTTTTTGGTTGAAGAAATTTAGTTAGAAAGTGTTTTTAGTAACTTACAAAAGTCATACAGGTAATGAAAGTATTTTCTAATTTTTTAAATGTAAACACTCACAATTGGCATTTTTGCAACTTTTGTTTATTTTCTTAATCTATTTTCCCAGAAGTGGAATAAGTGAACATAACTAGTAGAATGTAGTTAGGTGGTTTTTGTTTTTTTTGTTTTATTTTGTTTTTGGAATTTTCTGAGGTCCTCAATAGACTGTTGAATAAGCATAGGTTTCCAACAATTCTGGGAAAAGGAGAAATATTCTTGATAGAAGTAAATCTGAACAAATCTCTGGAGTTAGGAGACTAGACATTCATCTCTGTTTGTGGCAAGGTGAGGTATTTAAAAGTAAATTTCCTGACAGATTTTAAAAGCATCCAGTCCTACAAGCAAAAGAATTTTTTAAGAGTTTGATGACACCTAATATTTGAAGTGCCTGCAGGCAGTTCCTGTTTTATCCTGCATGATAAAACAAAGATCTCTTGGAATTAAGGGAGAGTGAATAATGGGAAGTCTGAACTAGCTCTGTGCTATTTAGACCGGAATACAGGTAGTTTGTGTAAAATGTTATGGAAAGAGGCTTATAAGCCCCAACCATTTGGTTACACTCTAAAAGGCTAGACTCTTAGAAGATAATTAAGATCAATAAAAAGCCACAGCTTCTGATGAAATACCAAGCCCGATTTCATGGAATTTGCAATCAAAAAGGATCAAAGTAAAGAAATAAACTCTAAAACTAAATTACATAGGGCTTGAGCAAAGAAAGGAGAAATTAATTTTTTAAACATGAAAAGAGAGAGAAACGCAGTATCTTTCTTGGTTTATAATCTTATTTATTGAATAGGCCTCAACTTAGTCTTACCAAGCCCTTAATTAATCTTGGTGCTATGCTCAGACCAAAAAAAAAAAAAAAATTGTACACTAGCATGCCACAGAATCAACCTTGGTGCTCTTTAAAAATCCTGGGTTCAGATATTTAAACTAGCCTCCTATGTGAGACAGAGTCAGGAAGTTCAAAGACCACACCCAGTGGCAGAGGCCTGGGTCCTGACTCCTCAGTAAATTGTTATCGTCTCATATTGATGGTTTATCTTTTTCTATCTACTCATATGTAATTACACCTTTTACTTTAGGTAGTTTGGAAAAGCAACAAATGTAATGTTGTTTAGTCTACTTTCAAATGATTAATTCTATCAAATAAATACTCTTTGTGGGGCTGCCGGGGCTGACAGGCGGCCTGGACCTGGGTTTCGTTTCCCCTGAAATGGTGGGATTCCCCGCCCCCATCAGGTAACCTGGTGCCAGCCAATCAACATGCGCCTAGCAAGAAAAAGGGACCCTATCGGGAAAGCTGAAAAGCCCGAGAACGCCCAAGTTTGAAAAAAGCCCTCGAAGGTTTGGGCCAATAAGAGTACTTTGCAAACATGTAACCAATCCGCTTAAGCCAGCTACCAACTGCTTATGCACGCCTTATAAATTGGGTAACAGCTTGGGCTCAGCGATCTCCGACCCTGCACCACTGCGTTGGACTTGCGGTGAGAGCCCTGACTCGAGTCAGCAATAAACTTCCTTTTTTTTGTGAGTTGCATTGTCTTGGAAGCCTTCTCTCTTCCCGCTCAGGGATTCGGACATTGGGCGTAACACTCTTCACCTTCATTTCATTGCCTGTATATTGTTTTTACAATGTACTATAATTTACCTAACTCATTTTTTGTTGTTGTTGTTCTTGTAAAGGTAGATTTCTTTAAACTTATCATGGAAATAGTAACATAAAAATACGATTGTAGATATTTTTATACATTTATTTTTCATGGAATAATTAAATCAGAATTTTCAAAAGGTACATGAACTTGTATGGTTAACACACATATCACCAGCTATGTCTACAAAATATTATCAATTTATATTTCCAATATAAATTGGCTATCTAATGTGTCTGCTTTATGCTTAAAAGACAACTGATTATTAT